TGATACCTTCTTCAATTGAATCCATAGGGATTGATTCAATCAGCCTATTTTCAGGAGAAATGCTGACGAGAACCTGATCAGAATTACTCACCACTTTTTTTAACTGGAAACCGGCACGCTTTAAAACTTTTAGTACCGACGATTGTGCCCTCAGCAACTCATCGACTGTGTCGGCACCCATAAAAATGTTATCTACATACATCTGAAATTGTAACGCATCTCTCACCTCAAGGTCATCGTCACAGTCATTCTCAGCTATATATTGGATTACTCGTAGCGCTAAAAACGGCGCACAATTAACCCCATAAGTGACCGTATTTAGTTCGTACTTCACTAACTCATCGATGTTGGAATTTCGTCAAAAAATATGTTGATAAGGACGGAATTCATCATTTATCAATATTTGGCGATACATTTTGCACACGTATGTGGTAAAGACAAAACGAAATGTGCGAAAACGGAGGATAATTTCAACAATGTCACGTTATAATTTCGCACCAGTGTGTAAACAATCATTCAACGACCGACCAGAATAACATGACGCCGATGCGTCAAATACTACTCGAATTTTAGAAGTCTCTGTAGGGTCCTTTAAAACGGCATAATGCGGTATAAAATACCATTCGGGATGATTCGCGACAGACATGTGACCTAGATCCAAGTATTTATGCATGAAAGTGCGATAGGATTCATACAGCGCTGGGTTACCCCGCAATTTTGCCTCGAGGTTCAAAAAACGTTTTATTGCAATTTGACGAGATCCCTCGAACATATTAGAAGACAACGGAATCTGGAAGAGCAATGGTACAGAAAATCGTCCGTTTTCAAGATGCGACATTTTATTACAAAAAATGACCTCACACTATCCTTGTTCTGTAAACTCGGCGGGGGCGATATCAGGTTCTTCCACCATCCAAAATTTGGATAACGTATTCTCCAACGACACAGTTAATGAGACTAACCACACACAGCCTCGCGACCAGTTGAAAGAGAAACGGATCCTACGATTATCCACCCGAACACAGTATTAAAATCTGCTGAAAGCGCATCATCTATTACCACTTTGCCTCCTTCCATAACAGCAAAATATAAATCAACACCTATCAATAAATCAATTGGTCCAGGTTGATCAAAATTAGGATCGGCCATGGCAAAATGAGATTAACAATCTTTAATATTGGTAGACATAGGACGAGTTGGTATAGAATTGGTAATACTATTCAACGCCCAAGCTGTTATTGGTATTTTTAGGGACTCATCATATCTGGGTATCATCACGCACCTAACCTGCCCAAGTACTTTCGGTACTTCAATTCCTGATATTTTAGTTACAGCCACAGTCCAATTTTTCACTTTCAACCCGAGGCGAGTAACACAACTAGAAGTCAGCCGAAATTTGAGAGCCACCATCAATCAAAGAGCGAATAGTGCACAATGTACCCAAATTACTACGAATATGAACCAATGCTGCCCCTAACATCACATTCCGATCCGAAACGACGCTGGTCCTAGACGTGGCAGCAGTACTCGGAACGGGAGAAACATTATTGGCAGAATTAGACGTAGGGGTGGGGATATGTAAAAGTAAATGATGCTTGTCGTCGCATTTTGCGCATGGCCTTGTAATCGCACACTGGGACACGATATGGCTTGCCGAAAGACAAGAAAAACATAGGCGACTTTTCCGGACGGTATCGCGTCGGTCCTTCCCCGATAGCCGTTTGAACTTATAGCACCTAGTTATGGTATAGTTTGTACCCTGACAATGCAAACATTTGAACTTTTCCTTCGGTTGCGGTACATCCACTCTGACTAATGCAACTCGAGATGTCTTGTTTGACTTAACTACCTACTGATGAACTGACTTGACCGATATACTATGGGATAGCTTAGAATTCTCAAGAACCTGTACTCGAGATTTGACAAAATCTAAAAGTTGATATATGGTCGGATACTCAGATTGATGGGCTGCCTCAAATATCTTCCTACAATCAAGTGGCAAACACCGAGAGGCCATGAAAAACAAGATAAAAGCAGAAAGATCAGGAATATTTAACGCGTATAAACTAGCACTAGCTTCATCAAACTTAACAAGAAAGGACGACAGCGTCGCTAATGATTCCTTATCAGAAGCTGGGGCAGTTAATAATTGTTCAACCAGAGATGTTGCTAACTGACGAGGTTTGTCAAAATTTTGTACTAAGGTGGACCATGCTAGAGCATAAGTGTCTCCGGAGACAGTAATACCCTTTATCCATTCAGCTGCACTTCCCTGTATACAATTAAGTAGATAATAGTATTTCTCGACATCAGATGACCTGATATTTTTACCTACTAAAACAGCGTAACGATCCCTGAACACAGGTCAATCTTTAATCTTATCATCAAATTAAGGCAAAGGAATTTTAGGTAATCGAGCCCCTTGAGCATCCAAAATTAACGGTAACGTGTCAGGGGTTGCAATAGAAATTGGGACCTGAGGTGGTGGAACGTTCCCACCGTTAATTGATTGACCCTGTGTATCATCTGTGCTGCGTACACTACTATCAGGCATAGTGACAGACTTCGTATTTAGTGTGAGAAAATTTTGCATTGCTTCACTGCAACATGGATGGAAGCAACCATAACTGATGGTTCAATATTTGTGTCAAAATCATCTATTTTGTTCAAATCAATTAAAGCGTCAAGTAGAGAATCATTTTCTACATTAAATTGAGTCCATAAATTATCTGTGTCACGAGCAAGTCTTAAGAACTTGGGGAAAAGTTCTGGAGAATTAACAATTGTACCAGCCATTTCAAAAATATTTTTAATATTAGTAGCCACATTATTTCTTTTTAATTCAGCAAGTACCCGGGCTCGCTTAGTGCAACTCGGGTCATCCCCTTGCCCATCACCAGTCATGGTCGTTTAATAATTAAACACACTGATCAAAATTAACAACAAATGTGAACCAGGAAATAATTATACTATTAAATGGTATACTCATGTATACACATAAATTATAATGTGCTAACTAACAAACTTAAATAGCTACGCAAGTATTACAATACAAACCTTTAGTATTAGTACCTACCTACATTGATAATAAAAACTACACCAATATAATATAACACAAAAAAAGCAACATAAAGGCAAAGTAATATTAACAAACAGTGTTAAAGATACAATGCCATTATAAATAATATGGCAGTATTATAATATTATACTAAGTAATATAACTTGATAGTCACAAGCACAAGCAATAGTAATTCTATATTATACTACAAGATGATTAACGTAAACAAAACCAATTTTAATATGACCAGCCAGAGAAACCAACAACTCAAATCTCCGTTAAACCACGCTCTGCTACCAAAATGTTCGCCACAGAGGCTCTTTACTCGGAAGTTAGCCCCTGTGACTAGAGTGTCTGGAGATTCATTGAGGTCAAATCTGGTATTTACATAATATTAATAATAATAATAATAATAAAATCCATTATATTTCAACAAATATCAATAAAAAAAAAAAAAAAAAACAACGGAACTATATAATAAATTAATACAATTTTTATCAATATATAAAGGAAAAACAACAATATAAAAATGACCCTGACAATGTCGATGCATGAGAAGGTGAATCGCAAACGGCGAACTCACATGCGCACAACTTGCTATCACGTATGGCGGAGTCTACCCGCAAACGGCGGTACAACATGGCATGTTTTCGACGTAACAATTCTTCGGAGTCCGTACTGAAGATTATGTCGTCAACATAAGCGGCTTGGGTGAGTACGCCTTTTGCCAAAATAAAGTGATGACCATCCTGGGCATAAAGCTCATTTCAACAACGGATTGCTAAATAGGGCGCACAGTTCAGGCCATACGTTATAGTGCATAATTGAAATTCTTGAAGCTGGTCGTTGGGCGAGTCACGCCAAAATGTGTTGAAACATGCAATCTTCGGATTGGATCAGGATTTGCCGGTACATTTTAACGATGTCGGCGGTCAAAATGTATTGATGCATACGGCAGCGAAGTAGGATTTCGCACAGATCGACCTGCAACTTGGAGCCGGTGCACAACACATCGTTCAAGGAACGGCCGATTGAGGAAACTGATGAAGCGTCAAATACGTCGCGTAATTTTGATACATCACCATCGGCCTTGAGTACAGCGTGGTGCGAAATGAAGGATTTTCCGGGCTCCGGGGCCGGCACCATATGACCTAACTCGAGATAAGTAGACATGAATTTCCGTTAGGCGGCTTGCGATTCGCGGTCTTTGGATAATCGCCTTTTAAGGTTGTAAAAACGTTTTAATGCAATAGAACGTGAGTCACCCAAAACATGACCTAACGAGTCTAGGCACCGGTTAGATCCACTAAACAAATCGCGGAAAGGCAGCGCTACGCAAAAATTACCAGAAGCATCTCGAGATGTAGATTTCATAAAATAATCTTCGCACCATTGGTGGTGGATGACATTTACGCAGCAGGCTTTTCAACACGCCAGAAGTTTTGTAACAAATATCCAACGGATGTGTCAACGACGGTGGCTAGCATTGCTAGAGTTGTAGTATTAGTTGCGGAGACGGAGTCGAAAACCATCCACTCAATTTGCGTATTTAGAGCTGATGGGAGATCAGGATGATGCTCAACACCGGCGTGCGGACGGATGAGAAGAGGTAAAATATCCGCACCAAAAAGAACGTCAATACGCGACGGAATGTCAAAGCCCTTATCTGCGAAACAGAGATGTTGGTTTCCTTGACGTACAGTTATCGGTAATAGTACGCTATGAGATAGTAAGGTAAAATATATGTGAAGGTTTGGAATTAATAGAACAAAGTGGGAGGGGGCTGCGTGAATTATCCTCCACTCAATTAAAAAAGCCTATTACGGTGAAATTAAGAAGTTCTAAAAACTGGTAAGATTAAATTAATATTAATAAAAACAATTATTTAATACAATTAATATAAATGTCTATTAATTAAAAAAAATAATACCCAATGAAAAATTTAAAAAATAGTTAGTAAAAATGAAATTTTCAAAAACACCCGGAGTCAGGGATCGCAATTTTTTTTAAGTCTACTATATGGACCATATGGAAGGGGAGAAACTTCATAGACGCTGGTGGGCTACGTCAAGTTCCCCAATCAAATATTTTTTATGGCGCCCAAAGTAAGGAGTTACAAATTCAGAAAATTGTGTTACAAATAGTTACAAATGAGATATAAAAGAATGGCGTTTGTCCGGAGTCGATGAGACAAATTCGGGGGGCTGTTCTCCCATCACGAAAATGTTGATTTCGACCAAAGTAAGGAGTTACAAATTCTGAAAATTGTGTTACAAATAGTTACAAATGAGATATAAAAGAATGGCGTTTGTCCGGAGTCGATGAGACAAAGTCGGGGGGTTGTTCCTCCATCAGGAAAATGTTGATTTCGCCCAAAGTAAGGAGTTACAAATTCTGAAAACTGTGTTACAAATAGTTACAAATGAGTTATAAAAGAATGGCGTTGGTCCGGAGTCGTTCTGACAAAGTCGGGGGGCTACGTGAAGTTGGCCCCCCATCAAAAAAATGTCGATTGCGCCAAAAGTAAGGAGTTACAAATTCTGAAAATTGTGTTACAAATAGTTACAAATGAGTTACAAAATATTGGCATTGGTCCGGAGTAGATCAATGTCGGGGGGCTAACTTCACGCACGTGACGATACCACGTGCGTACGTGCGGTGGTCGACGGTGGTACGGAGGTAATCTAACTTGGACGATGCAATCGTTGATCGAGGGGATCGGGCGTGGATGCAAGATTTATACACTACAAAACACGGCAAGCGTGGACTGTACGTTGTCGTGGCGTAGAACGCGGCTCAAACGACAAACATAATAGACCAACGGTTTGCACTGCGTATAACGGGCGGGCGGAACACGTGGGCGCGTGAGCGAGCGGGGCTCAATCGCACGGCAAAGATTGGCCGAGCGATTCAAAATATAACAAAATTAGTAATGACGCATCAGACACCAGACGGTCGTACTAAAACACGTGGACGGCGTAAATGACCACGGGTCGGGGGTCGCACAGCGAAAATCGGATGGGCGACAAAAAACACGAAAATACAACTCGTGGTTTTGGCACGGGGGGCCGTGACTCAAATCGCACGAAACCAGCACGTGCGCGATGAGTCGGGAGTACAGGGGCTCGGTTGAGTAGCCAAGACGGCTAGTTACCGACAAAAAAAACACAACGCCGGGTAGCTAACGAGCCAGAAACCAAACGTTCGCGGACGCGGCACGGCGATTAGTTCTGTTAGAGCTAATATTTTAATAGGTATTACGGGTCAGGATTTTAATGTTTGGTAACGGCTATATTGGTATTAAAAACACACACGATATAAGTATAACAACAACGGGTCGCGGTGCCGGAGACGCGAAGACAAAACGGTATCTTCCGCCGTCGCAAAAACTGGACTGTGTTGACGCCGACTCCAGGGAGCCGCTGTAGCAGTCACGCCGGCCCTACAACCGCGGCGCCCGTAGCAGTGTGACCACCATTAATTAATTATATAATAAAAAAAATAATAGACGCTAATAGTTCGGATGAGCAAAAACAAAGGCCAAACATAGAAAAAAAATGGCGGACTGATGGCGACCGGACACCGGATCGCGAACCTGTTCCGTAGACGGTGGAAGAACGACCAAAAACACGCCGGCGACGGGCAACTTGGCCGCGGCGATAGCGGGGGTCCAGGTTGGACGCTCCGGCGCGACAACGTTACGGCATATTATTAATTGCGACATGACCGCGCGCAATTTAAATTAGAACTTGTATCCAACACAAACTAAAGGGAAGCGATCTATCGTCAAACTTGTCGTCAAACCAATCGGCCGATCAGTTGTCAAACCTGACGCAGTCCACACACCAAATGATTAGTTTGACGATATCTAACTTAACTTTTTAATTGGTGAAGTTTGTTTTGTTTGTTTATATTGTGATAATGTGATATGGTTTATATCGCAATTGAATATCGAAATATTATTCGAGTGATTGCATTTTATAGTTTATGGAATTTTTTCATTTTCGCTTTGTATATTTTTGCGTACAATGAACAAAATAGATCGAAAGAGGAAATTATTGCTGACAACTGCTCTCGTTTTTTCTGTGGATGATGATGACGATACACAAAAAAAGAGAAAATGGTCAAAACAGTGGCTTTTAAAACGTCGAAAATATTCGCATATGAATTTGCTACGTGAATTGTAGTTCTGTGGCATCATCTAACCTGGATATTCCCACTCTGCTACTCTCATCTTCCGTAGTAAAAGACAATAAGTCATAGTACCATAACGTTGGTACGTAAATTTCATCAGCAGATAAGCCGGTAGTTTTTGATTCCAAAATAATGTTTAGCTCTCTTCTAAATGCAGACCGTAGGTTGTTTAATTTACGTTTTACAAAAGCTGCATCTTTAAATTTTTCTTGACACACCTTTAACAAGTCTCCGATACCTAAGTTCCTCAAATGTTTATTTTTGGATACATTACTTTTGGTATTCTACAGAGCTGGGTGCGTTTGTAGGTTTCTAAAAACTCAGTCACAAATGGTTTGTTTTGATCCATTTTATAGCAGTACGTAAATGAAATATTAAAATATAACGTTAAACACAAAAGAAATTCGGATTTCAGAATAAAAATTAAAATGTTAATCGCGATTTTAATCATTGATTAACGTTTTAGGGATCAAGTATTGAACATCTGCTTTCAATTGATTATTGTCGGTGAAACGTTCATTTAGACTATTAGGTAGTAATCTGGTCAATTATTGTTTGATATGTTTCAACTCTGAACTTGTCTAATAGTAACTCCGGTGTTTTGTCTTCACATAGCCCATTATACATTCTTTTTTTCCTGATATCCCTAGTAACAGGTAAAGAAGATGATAATAATAAATCTTCAGGAAGATTCATACTATTAAGTAAGTCGTTCATATTGTTCGAAAAATTTATAGAACTTTCTAAAATACTGTCAAAGTCAATTTGTCCAATTTCTAGTTTTACAGAATCTATTATACTCCAAGCTGATAATAAATCCATACCTCTGAAGATAACGTGACGTTGGTCCAATAATTTTAAAGATTTTCAAAAATATATGAGCCGTGAGAATTATTTTAAAATTACATAAATTATCTAATAAAGAAGATGCTTCTGAACAAACTTTAGATTCAACATTTTTGGAAATAGAAATATGATGTAAAGCACTAATAACTATAGGAAAAAGACATTTATCACCATCAAAAATCCAAAACAGAGCTTTTTATCGAGACCACCATCGCGTATTGATTTCTCCTATTTTTTGAAGCTTTTTCAATTTATTTGATCCCAAACTTTAATCAATTTCATATAACCATACGTGCATACGTTTATAAGATCCACTAAAAAATGTTGATAATCGATTCAAAAGTCCAAACAGTTTTTTAGCTTCTATAATTTTACATGTATCACATACATATAAGTTAAGCACATGACTATAGCACCATATATAAATGCTTTTTTGGTTTTCTTGACTTTTAATCTTAGATTGTAAACCTGAATACTCCCCTCTCATGTTTGCTGCACCGTCAAATGATTCACCAATAATCCGATCAAACTTAATGGAATGTTCAGAAAAAAGTTTTTTTAACATATCATAATAGCCATTTCCTGATGAATCAACTGTTTTTAATAAAGCAAATAGTCTTTCTTTTACTTCACCTTCATAAATGTACCATATGCACACTGCAGCCTGATCTACAACACCAACATCTTGTGTACTATCAATTTGTAAGCTGAAATTTCGTTCACCCAATTCCAATTTAATTCTATCCCTTATTGACTTCATGATAGATAAAACAACTTTATTCACGGTAGTTTTAGACAGTAAAGTTACCAGTGAACGCCTACCACAAGAAGTTAATGATTTCTTTTCCAAGTTTACTTTCCTGCGTTTGCATCACGTTTAGCTGTAAATTTCACCAACTCCAAAAAATTTTCTTTGTTCAAATTGTCTTCATCGTCCCATTTATATAAGTTTTCAGAGTTCTTAGGACCTCTGAATGGCAAATTTTAACGACCTAGAAATTTAACTATTTCAAAAACTTAATTTAAAACATCGATATTATCTAGTATTTGATTTTTTTTTATTGCCATTAAATTATTATTGATACCAAATTCAATAGATTTATCATTAGATGATTGAATAAAGGCTTCTACTGAGTGCCTGTGAGTTGATAATTCTTCATGTATTTTAACAACTTCATGAATATGTTTGAAATTTTTACAACCGTTAGAAAATGTAGTAGCAGATGAACTAAAATCAATGCAAATCGGACAGTATATATAGCTTTGAGCTCATTATTAACACATAGCACTGATAACCACTTACGTGCAATTTTTTTGTCATCTGGTGTCTTTTTAAAATAAAGCTTTTATAGATCTAGTTGGATATTACTGAAAAATGATGGCTGAATAGGATGTTGTTTAACAAAGTTTATTTTTTTAAGGATATCAGCATAATAATCTAGTTTAAATAACTCTTCATTATATGGCAAATGATACTCAAGAGATTCAACTTCCTAAAATATAAATTTCAATCAATTTAATGATATAGAATATAATATACTAATATCCATATAAATATAAAAAATTAATTAAAGACCATTTTAAGTGCATTTTATACTATAATTTTTGAGTTCGTATCCTCAAATCTATGCCATATATTATAATTAAGTTTTACATAATTTGTTACACAAGAATTGGGTAAGATATTAGGTTTTCTAAAAATGGATATTTCACAAGACTCATCAACATGTTGCATTTGTTGATCATGTGGACATATAAGCTGATTAATAGTTTTTTTACATTTTGAAATTTGTATCGCGCTTAAATCTAAGTAGAATAAACGGGATTTATCTAAAGCTTTGTAGTCTGAATTAAGTACTATTACACTATATAGGTTATTTGATAATTTTATTAGTAGTGGTATTGGTTTATATAATGTCAGTTCATAATTGTCTACTATTGGAATCTCCATTACAAACATTAATATATTATATAAATACACTACGCTAACAGTAGCTCCCGTAGTTTTGACAGTTCCGAGGTATCCAAATGTATTGGTATTCCTGATCCTATAGGTAACTGAGACTTAATTTCTTTTAGTTGATTTTTTAATGTCTTAGCATCTAATAGATTTAAATGTATGAACCCGTGAATAGCTGCGTTCACAATATTTTCTAAATTCGCTGTTTCAAATGAATATTGTATGAAAATTAGGTTGAGTACTGCTATTCGTTCTTCAAGAGCTATTTTTAAATTATTTTAAAAAACTATTTCAACTTTTTCTGCTATAACTTCATACAGTAAAATATTGTACTTATCAACTAAGATTTCTTTATCATTTTCTTCTTGTATTAATGAATAATTTACATTTGAAATGACAGACTTCAGTATGCGAATTTGAGACTCTAATATTTGAGTAGTTTGAAGTTTTGATTCTCTTAGTTCCTTAATCCTGCTATAAAAATATTTGGAATCGTTATCGTCGCAAACGCCAAACAGTACATTTGCGGCTCGATCTACCAAATTAATTAGTCCTCTTTTCCTACGATTATTATTTATTATTAGTCTTTCTATAACCTTAAGTATTTGTTGATTTTTTACAATGTTTAATACATTCCCAAAACTAACGTTTTCACTTATGTTTTGGGCATATATTAAAATTTCTTGAGTTTCCAATTCTATATTGTCGACGGTGACTGGGATTATGGTCTCACTTCGTGCTAAGAGAATCATTTCGGTTTTATCGGATAATGTTATTTCATTTTTTCCTAAGTTAATTACAGCGTATTGAGAGTTTCCTTGAAGAAAAGGTTTACCAACAATACCATCTTGTAGGGTTGGAAAAAACGAGGGAACCACTTGGAACTCAAATTTGCGGTTTTGATTTCCGATTTTTAATGTGAGCCAAGTAGACCCTATTGTTTTTACCAATTGACCGCTGATACCTTGCATCTGGTGCGGGTTTTGAGTATTTATAATTACGTCGTCGTTTAAAGAATTTATTTTAATTATGTTTAGATCCGCTCCAGTATCCACTAATAAGCGAATTTTACCAATAAGTGACTGAGGACTTGAGTAGACGACATGGTTGTCGTCTAATTTGGTTGTAAAATTAAATGTTTTTTTTACATTTAGGCTAACATCCTTATTTCCTTGACCAAACGCACGCCTGACGTGCTCGGTCTCGTTCCATTTCCCGAAGAACCTTGTTGATTATCTGTCGTTTATCTGCTCTTTTTTTTTAAAAAACAATCATCTCTTTCATGACCTTTTGCCTTACAGTACGTGCACTACACTTTTTGTATATACGGTTGGTTGTGTATTTTTTGTTTTTTTGTTTGAATCTTGTTTTTGCTAGTTTTCTTTTGTGAATCGACATTGTATTGTATTGTGATTATTTTTTTTACAAATACTACAGTATTTTTGATTATTGTTTGTCCCGATTTTATTGTTATTTTGGAAAAGGCGTTTAGTGTCTGTATGAATTTAAAAATTTCTTTTCTTCTAAACTCTCTTTTATAGCCTCTTCGAGGGAAGATAGATTTTTTGATTTAACTATCTGTCTTAGATTTTGATGTAGACCTTCTACGTATGATGTTAAGGTTGTCTCCTTGATGTAACTTCGTACAGCTTCTGCTTCTACAGGTTTTCTGCCGGTTACACTTACGTTACAGAGTTCGTGGAGAAGTTTTTCTATCCTTCCAGAGTATTCTTGAACTGTTTCTCCCGGTTTTTGCCTGGTTGAATTTAATTCATGTTGTAGGTAACCCAGTGTGCGTTTTGCACAAAATTCAGATTCCAGTAGTGACTTAAGACCTACCCAATCTATAATTTCCCTATTCTGTGTTACCGCGAATGCTTTCCCACTTAGTTTCATGGTAATGGCTCTTACTATATTGGTTTGAAAGTGTCCTTTACACAAGACACTCCAAATTCGCAAGCATTTAAAAAAGAGTAAATTTCTTCGTCATTTTGTCCATTAAAGTGTGGGATTAATTTAATTGCAGTTTCTAATGATAACTCAGACATATCAATACTTTCAAAAATATTGTTGGATTTGAAATTAATATTTTGATCAAAATCAATTAAATTGATTATCTCACTATTTTATAGATTGTCAGCGATAGACTTAGAATTTATCCTAGTCTAGGTACGAGTTACCACTGGGGTTGTTTTAGGTTCGCTATCTGTGATTTTAATATTAAAATTTGGATCCTCTTCCGTTATGTCAGGACTACTATCACTATAATTACCCGACATACATTCAACTTATCCTATTGCTCTTTTTTTTTTACAATTAAGATTCGTACGTTTTTCTTATTCACTAAGTATAATTAAATATTCACGAAAACAAATCAATAGATTTAAAACTATGGAAAGAAAAATCATTTATGATTTAGTAATATTGTTTACTTACAGTATTATTACCTTGATTACCACTTTAATTAGAAACATTTTTCTTTTGAATTCGTTGTGTTCTACTTCCAGTGATTGGTCTTCGACCGCAGTTTTCAGCACCTTAGATAGAAATCGAAGAAGGAACATCCGTGGTACGTACGTTCTAGAAGTCACTCCCACGATGTCTTGACGTTTCTTCTTGGACGTTCTACGCTCCGAATCTGCTAGCGTGGAGACCAATAATATATTATTGGGTTTATGTATTGATATACGTATATTGTATATTATATGATATACTGCGTGTGTTAAAACAGTGTATATTATATTCGGAGTGATTACTGCTGACACCATAACGTAAGGGGGTCAGTGTCACCCGTGATAGCACCTCTTTCGGTTTTTGGCACACACGTGTGTGTTCTGTGCTCGATAGAATTTCGAGCGTCTCCTGTGATTGCTGACACTACGTTTCTGTTCTGTGTGACTGGAATGTGCTACGCCCGTGAATTTAGCTCACAGGGCGAATGTTCCGTATCGTTGTACCACGTAGTGTATACCACGACGAAGTAATATTCAAATACAAAGACAAAATATCAATGCAATGTACCTATTACCTCGTATGAAACGAAAATAATACCTGGATAATAATCAACTTCCTTTTGAACCGCGATACCGCTGCCACCAGTTGTTATGAGCTTCTGAGTTACGTCTCGTTCACTTGAATAATGCCGCCGTGACGGTTATTTGGTAGTGTGGGGTTCAAGGAAATATCGTTATCCAACGTGTGGATGTAAAACACACAAATAAATACTATTACGTTTATTGAGTCAGTTTATTAATTAATGACAATGAATAACTTAACACTATTTAACTTAAGAATTATACACTGTTCTGTAGCTAGATCGAAACACGACTGATTGCGCATTACTCCGGTCGGTCATCCGATATATATATATATATATATATCTGTAGCTTGTTTCATGATTTCATTTTCAATTCCTCAATTGGAACTTCTCTCTCTTACCCGTGGCATAACTATAATAAAAATACATAAATTAATGACTACTTACAAACCTAATGAAATATTAAACAATTTAGTGTATAATTGTCCCTTGATGAACTGTTACATTTGTATCCATTCAATATTTTTTTAATTACTTAAATATTATGAAAAATATTTACCGAGTTGTGTATTTTGAATAACATCTAGTGATACTACACAAGTTTCTGATAAGTTAACTCGAAGAACATAAACAAAAATATAATTTAACAATCACAATAAATAAAAATTAACTGATAATTTTATTTACTATCAGTTAGTAAAAACACATTTTTATTTTTTGTTATAATCATGATATCAACTAATTGATTAGGAAATATTGATTATCGTACAGGGGAAAATTTTCGATGTATTTGACGTTTTTGGATTGGTTGTAGAACTTATTGCTAGTGTTATGTCCCGTCGGTTAGTTCCAACAGACATGAATATGTTCTCTAACAGAAATGGTTGACACAAAAAAAACACAACAACTATCGAACTATTTATATATATGAAGTTATAATAAAGACATAGTATTAAAGTTAGTTATTGATATAAATGTGGTCGCCTGACATATGTTGCATTTATGTACTTAGGAAAGAAGGAGGGGTTCTTAACACTAGTGTTACAATTGTCCTGCATTAAAATCGTTCCCAGTTTCTCTTACTTTAAATTTAGGTATGTCTACAGCGTCATATTTTATTTTTAATAAATATATAATTTATAGAATAGTAAAATTGTTAATTTGTAACTAGTCAATAACTACTTATAACTAATAATGATGATCGTTATAATGTTAATGTGTGTTTCTTTCGAGGTTATATGTTATCAGTTACGCTAGTACACAACACTTTTGATTAATGCAATCTAGGTCATTTGATTACTGTTATAAGAAGATTTGAATTTATTAAGATCAATCCTACTATTTGGAAAAACTAAAAAAACGGTCACGATATGTTTCGGTAATATTGAATTGAGTCCCAAATATTGAATTGAGTTCCGCAAATATTTTTGGGTTATCGTAGTTGAGTCCCGTATACATTTTTGGGTTATCGTAGTTGAGTCCCGTATACATTTTTGGGTTATCGGAGTTGAGTCCCTTCAGTCTATTAGCGTTACCCAGGAGACACCACGTGGAGGTAGACCGAGAGTCTCCCAAAAATTGTGTGATTGTTTACAGTATTTATTTATTTATTATTTTTTTAATCGTTATAAAACACAAATAAGTATAAAATAGAATAAGTTAATTAATTCATTTATAATATAATTTAAGTAGTTGTATATGATTGTTTTGTTTATAGTTTTTTTTTTTTTTTTTGATTCTTATAAAACACAAGTCAGTTAGTATAAGTTACTGTAAAATACAAAAACTAATTTAATTTAAAATTAATGTAAAATATAAATATAAAAATAAATTTAAATAGTTGCTAGTAAAAATGTAAAAGATACAGATTTTAAAAACTCAAATCTGCAAATTTGTTTACTACTGTATTTTTTTTATCGTTTTATCGTTTTCAAGATTCGTATCCGATATAATATGATGTGTGAAGTTCAAGGTCGTCACCGGCTATATAGATGATTTTGATACCTTATATCTATACGGACTCAATTCAAAGACATTAAGATAATACCCGGGACTCAATTCAAACACATTATGAAAATATCCGGGACTCAATTCAAACACATAAAAGTAGCATGAACTCAATTCAACGTCAGCCATATGTTTGTAGGTTTTGTGGTCGTGGATAAAGATATTTATATGCTCCATTACAAGGTATAATTGTGTGTAGCTAATCATTGAATCGGAATAATGTTAATTATTTTAAGGATAAGTACCAAGTTTATATTTTAAAAAATATTAATCATATCCCAGTTGAATTGAAAATAAGTATCGTTTATAATGGAAAAAATATTCGAGGCATACGTGAGTTATAAACAATATATCAAACATAATTTAACGACATGAGTTAATAGCGATTTTGTGTTCTTAATGTAAGATGATTCACAATTGAATAGAAAGGTAATATTTGATTTTAATCACATGTAAATAAGTAAAAAGGACTTGAGAAATATATGAACTGTTTAAACCCACATTCTTAACAATTCGGTTGTATAATGTTATACCGATAAGTTATCAAATCGTGGCATCCCGTTTCAAAACCACTCCTTTTGAAAACATATATTAGTTTTAGAGTTTTATTAATTAGATAATACTGTTTTTTTTTATTTTTTAATCATTTATTCTGTAATACCTGTTAATTACATATTTTTCTGAATTCTATTTATAAAAAAATGTTTTAATTTGTTGTTTACTTATTTTATTAAGAATAAGTACATATTATTTATGTAAATATTATTAGTTTGTAAATTTTATGTAGCTTACTGTATAACTATTTGTAATACTTAGTACTTTTATATATAAAAATCAAAGAATGTTTCGTTTTTGAGCTTAGCTTAAAAATGTTAACTAATAAATGTATTAAAAATCTACCATTTTTTTTTTTTTTTGCAAGTACATTCCGTGAACTAGGTATCTGCTAACTAATTAACGAATTAATTATTGATTTTTTATTAAATAATGTGTTTTTGTTTGAAATAATTTTAATGAAAAAATAAATACCTAATTATATGTTTTTATCTGAGTTTTGTTATTTAATTTATCTAAAATGTAATGTTCCGTATTTTCACAGAACTATGTAATATTATGTATATGAGTACATAACCTGGTAAACAATAGACGATTATATTGTTTTTTTTTTGAAATAGATAAAAAAAAATTGAAATGAAAAGTCTCCAAATTTAACCAATCGTCTAATATCAATAAATCTAATCTAACGACTGTGGAAAAATTTGTTATCCAATAAAAGTACAATAAATTATGTTTAAAAAGGTGTTCATTTTTTTTTCTTACTTAATATGCAATTATTACAGTAAGAATATCTGTTTTATATTTTATTTGGTTTGTGAGATTCAAGTGTTTATGAAAAAGAAAAAATGAAAAAATAATTATAACAATAATAATAACAATTTTATAGTAAGTAAAATATAGTTTCTTTATTCAATAAAGCTAAAGTCCCATTTACAAATATATGTATATATATTTATATGTTAATAATGTGTTACAAGTTTGAATTATATTCAAATAAGTACACAATATTTTTTATTATTTTACACATTTAGGGAAAAAAAAGAAACCTTAAAAGCCTTATACCTTATAAAATATCCCCATAAACTCTGTCCATTGGGTTTATTGAGGAACTATCGGTAGATCAGAACAATTAGTGTTGTAGGAGCACGGCTTTATTATTAAATTATCGAGCGGTTACCAACACAAAAATTATAACGCCTGGATGCAGCTAAATCCGTAGTGCCGAAGAACAACTGCAATTACATAATTGCTGTGCCATACTATGCCCGTTTTATAATATTGTTAGCATATTATTTTTTTTTTTTGTGTTAATAACTGCGCCCATACTTCTTTTATATAAAATAAATATCTTAAAAAATCATAAAAAAAATTATACTTTGAACAGAAGAAAAAACGATTAATGTAAGTAAAAAAATTAATTAATATATATAATAATTATAACAAATATTTAACGACATTGATTAAAGGTGAAATTTACTGTCGTATACTATATAAACAAAATTCTATATGTGAGTTTTGGCATTCATTTTCTGACTCATAAGTGACGATTATATTATATTAGGATGATTTAACTTGATAGTCACTCGAAAAAACCGATATACTTTAATACCTATCTAATTAAGTGTATGATAAACACGTGGTATTATTCTAGATGTGGTATTTTTACATGTGAACTAATTTTGGATTAAAGTTTGATGGTTACGCAATGCTGGGCTTGAAACTGTTTCCGAAATCATATATGTGCGTTGGGTTTGACCGATAAACAAATAAAACAATAAGGAAACACATGGTTTAATTCTAACGGTTATGCGAAATATTAACGTTGGCATGATTTTTAATTGGTTGCAATGTTTACTCGCTATTAGAGCCACTTGTATTAAATGTATAAAATTATCAAACGTAATTTTAAGGAATGTTTATGATCCACATCATGAGCGAAAAAAAAAATTTGGAAAATTCGCGTTACACGTTATGATTTTCAAAACAACGCAATTTAGTTCTCCAAAACGATTTGTACCGGTTGAAAATCGAACGAAAGCAAATCTCGTATGTTTGTATAGGCAGTTATTAGAAAATCTAATTTGACAGTAGTGAAAAAAAAAACATGTCCTCGAAGTCACTCGTGAATTATTTCGCTTTACGCCTTTTAAACGGAAACCGCTGTGAAGTTTACTATAAGTAGTTGAAAATTAGCCACTACCAATTAAATAACTAACTAGATATTTCGAGAAATGTAAGTAATGTGCAAAATCGATTGTCGGTATTGAGGAGTATCCATTGGTCTTAAGAATCCAGTACTCGAAGAAAAATTGTTGGAAAAAAATGAAACATCGAAATGTTCATAAATTCAATAAATCGTTTACATCTTCTTGAACAATTGTGGTACACCTGCAATCGCGCCGCCAGGAACTTTAGAGCACGAAACCACTTAATTGCTTATACGCGACACTATGCGATCGAAAAAAAAATGTTTACTTATTAGCAGTGTTCCGTTAGTGATATATTACACGTTATAACATATTATACTATGGAGTATTTAAATATTGCTCACGCGTGTAAACCCCCCCCCCCTGAGTAATTCCGGTCAAACGGTATTTTATAAGAAGAAGCTAGGTAATTACATCGCAGTATAGTGACATTTTTTTTCTTGTTCACTGCAGAGCCAAGAAGTTTCTCGAACGGCTATCTGGTGGTATTCGGCAACGCGACGAACGCAAACCTTGTAACGACGATGATTGTAGCTCGTCGAAACTTGAGTGGCACCTGCTCGTGTCCGACGACAAGACAGTGGCAGTGAGCGACGGGCGGTTCAGTAGTATTTGTAGTGCGGTGTATAAGGAGTGCGGCAAAGATGTATGCAAGAAGTAAGACGTGTCGGGGTCGTGCGGAAGACGATGCGCTGCTGCCGCACGTCTCGTCAGCCCTTCATCGCCGCCGACGATACGTCGCCTTCATGGCATCCATCAGGTTCTTAGAGTAGTCCTTGTACGCGTTGTTCTGCTGGGACGCAGCGGCTGACTGCTGCACGTACGTGGAATAGTCACCGGACATGTCGGCGGTGAGCGGAGCGAAAGCCGCGGCTTGGCCGACCGGGCCCACCGTACCCGCGGCCATTAGATTGCCGAACCCGAAGCCCGGGAAGTTGGGGTTCCGGCAGAACCGCAGCATCGTCAGCAACGTAGGCAATGCCATGACGCCCAGCACCAGCATCTTCTTGATGATCATCACGGACACCAGGATGGGCACCAGCAGCGCTTTGATCACTAGGAACTTGAATGTGGCCAGCAGCGGGAACAGCAGCGCGTACTTCTTGTGCGGGTGCTTGCCGCGACCTGTAATTTGGTAAACCACTGTAAAAACAAAACAACTGTGATTGAGGGCACACCGCACCGTCTGTCCCGCGGACGCGTGTGCGACGGACGCGCGTCCTCGGATCAGACATATCAGACCACGACCCAGGAACGTATAAAGCGGAAGGAGTGGGTTCTCGTAAGCCGTAATCGTGTTCCGATTGAAACGTCAGTAGAAAAAAAAATAACGCTTAATTCAAAAGGTAATTTAAAATCATCGTTTTTCATCGTTGTTAGCGAACATTTGAAAGATAAGAGGGAACACTCGCATTCAAAAACCGATTCGAAGCGAAAACAGTTTTAGTTTTCCATAGTAATAATTGAAAATTATATGTGTTGCAAAGGGATTTCATAGTGAATTTAACAATTGTAAAAGCTTCGACATGAAACATATTCCTTTTTTTATTTTCTATCGCTGAACCGTAGGAGGGTAATGCTTTCTTCATACCCCTGCAGCAAGTTTATATTTGCCTGTACTATTAGACAATAATTAATTATTTTGATGAATACCACACCAAAGTTTAAGCACGTATATTTATTACGATTTTAAATGTTTGTCGAAACTACGTTTATTATAAATTATACGATACCATTCAAATAGCTAGAATACTCATTATTCAGATCATAGAAATACATTTTTCATTTTTAAATTTACGATTAATAAAAATATTTTTGTTTTAACACGTGTTAAAACGTTTTTTTCTTCTAATTTCATTATATGAAAAATTTCCTATTTTATTATTATTAATTTTTTTTTCTTAATCGATAGCGATCAAAGTACTCTCGTAAAATGTAATCGTATTCATATTATACAATTTTGGTTTTTTAGCATTAGTATATCTACTTTATTCGACACTTATTAGGAAATTTCGTTTGGCTTGCTATTAAGGTGAACAGTAAGATGAATAGTAAGTGAATATTGTGTTTTTGACATGCTTCTTCAATTTCTTAAAAAAATCCGAATAATAACAATTTAGTTTGTAATTGTTTTTTAAATGCATTTATAATTAGTTTTAAATTTAATAAAACTTAAGACGATCTTTACTGTACATAGTTTATCCAATTCATTAGCTTATAATACATATAAAGACTATTTATTTTATTTTTTATTTTAACGCTAAATTACTTGGGATTGTTATTTATTTTTATTTTTAATCGTTTTTTACTGGAGCATTACTGGAGCAGCGTTATTGTTGACTCAGTGCATATATCACATCACGTAATATCATAACTGATTACTTGTATTGACTAGAATCTCAACCAGTGTTTTTCTTTAGATAATTTCTGTATAATATCGTTTGTTTGTAAAATAAAAATGTACAATTTTTCAAAGTATTATTTTTTTTTTTTTTTAATTGTTTTCAGAAACATTAAAGTTTAAATTATAACCTCATGTGCAATAGAATTTTTTAAAATTGCTTGATATAATCTGTTTTATTTCAATTATTAATTTATGAAAATATTAAAAATAATTTTTGTTTAAAAAGGTAATAAAAATAAATTATAGTACAAAATCAAAACAAAAAATAATGCAATTTAAACGTTTTATAATATTCAAATTATTTAAAAAAAACAATTCTGGGCAGGCACAGGTCATAGAAGTGAAACTTCCTCGATAACAGTCGTGGTGATATCAAATTATTAATGTACAATCTACAGTTACTGTCGTAGAGGTTTCATTTTTATTATTTGTCTTTGCATAGAATTATTTAGTAATCAAAATGAGAAGATCTGTAAATGGAGGGAAATAGGGCCGGATTTAGACTTTCAAATGCCCTGGCCGAATCGATTTTTCGAGGCCCCTAAGAAATTAACATTATTCATGTAGTAAAGGAAAAATTAAAAATTTGCATACTTGCCCGTTTAAATTATCTACCTATACTTTTTTATTTCAAGTTTAAAATACCACTGTTCATGCTTCACAAAACACAAATTTTTGTATGTATAATAATATCACAGTTTAATTAAATGTAATATACAGTAAATACTAAACAGTTAGAAATAATAAGTAATAAAAAATAAATACATTTTTAAAAATATGGTAATTTTAGAAGTAATAAGTCTGACTTAAAAAAATTTGATATGCATTTGGTTTTTTTTTTAATGTCACGCGAATGCGTTTGTATAGGTGTAAAATAAAGGTACGTACCGTAGGCCGCGCGCCGACGGCAGTCTATAGGACGAATATATTCGTAACTATCAAATAACTCATAGTATAATTAAATTTCACTATGATTATATGTAATGGTTTTAATTTATCTTTGAAACTTAAATATCAAGGGTTTTAAAATAAAATATATCAAAATAAAATACTAAAATTTATGAGGTCCATTTCCCCAGCACCCCCATTTTCAAATTTCGGATCCGATTCGGTTCCAATTTGTATCTCGTTTATACTAATCAACTTTACTTTAATTCTGTTTTAATAATTTATATACGTGATTTTTTTTTAATTCACTATTTAAAATATATATTTATTTTATTTCTTAATAAAAAGTAATAAGTGTCTTATTAAAATTAATCCAATGGTATTTATTTTGTTATTAGAACTCTAATATTGAAATATTTTGTCGTATATTTTCTATAATAAACAGTTTTGCCTACATTTTTTTCCTAATTCCATAAGATATCGACTCTAACTAACCAAAATATTTGAGTTACTCCCAATTTCAAGCTAGTATATTTTTCGGAGTATTTTAATATTTTTCTTTACTTATAGAGAATAATAATTGAAAAATATAATTATAAAAAAATGACTCCAATAAAATGTTTGTTTGGATTATATTATGTACCTAATACAATTAGTTATGTATGTATATATGTCATTCAAACGTTTATGAAATTATACTTTTTCGTATAGAATTAGTATTGGTAAAATTTTAAAATTATATGGAAATCTAAAATAAAATATATAAGTAAAGTTTTACTTATATGTTAGCAATCTATTGCTATTGCATTAAAATCTTCAAGTATTATTTTTACTTTGTTGTTTGGTAGTAGGTCACATATAGTATCCAGTTTTTCATAGAATTCATTTTTAATTTCCTCATTTTTGTCCTCAGTAGGTGCATAACCATTGATTATGACTAGATTGTACCATTTACATTTTAATTCTAGATACCATATTCTATCGTTAATTGCTTCAAAGCGTTTTATGTTAGGTAGGCATAAGCGTGCACACGGGGTAGTCAGGGTAGGTACTTGACTATTCTGTGAAACTTCCCACCCTCACCAAAATATTCAATATGATCACAATAATAAATAAACATACTATTTTCAACCACTTCGAAACATTAGTTAACGTTAAAAAAAATGTAAGAATACTGGAGAAATATAGTTTTTAAGTTAAATGAAGTTACGAATGCAAATTTTTTGTTAATATTAAATGATAATGTATTATGTTTGACTACCCTGCCAGTTATGTCTGCACACGCTTATGTAGGTAGGAGTTTGTCATTCACGATGAAGCCCACTCCTGCTTGATGCCCCAGTCCACCACTGTAAAAGTAGGTCCAATTATTTGTTTTTAAGTTTCCTTGCCCTGGCCATCTAGTTTCTTGAATCCCAGCTATATTCAGTTGATACCGTTCAAGACTCGATATCACTGTCGTCAGATGTTCGGCCCTATACAGCGATCGTACATTCCATATTCCTATCGAGAGATCCTTTAGCTCCACATTTTTCATCCGAGGCGATTTTAGTTGAATCGCAACAATGAGTTTTTTACGAGGTAAGGTTGTTAGCCCTACGCTCAACCCCCAACCTGGAGGACCAAACTACCCCAACCAATTAAGGTTAGGGTAGGGCTATTGCGGTGCATTTACTATAATGTACCGGGCGATGGGGACGCCACTTTCCCTACGCCATTTTAATAAGACACTACTTTTTATTAAGAAATAAAATAAATATATATTTTAAATAGTGAATTCAAAAAAATTACGTATATAATTTATTAAAACAGAATTAAAGTAAAGTTGATTAGTATAACTTTCGTAACAATTTACATACACATATTTATATTCATCCATTTGTATTTAATTCATTTTTTATTAAAAATATATTGTAAATTTGAATATGATGTACGCTTAAGCTTACACTAGTCATGAAAATACATCTGGTGCGGAAAACCCAAAATTTCTCAAAATTTCAAAAATTTTAACCACACGAACTTAAGAAATGTTTAAAATGTATACGATAGTAAACAGAGATAACTTAAACTAAGTTAATGTATGTATTAATTAATATTAATGTATGTATCATAGACAAAATTAAACTTTAAGCGCAATGTTTTTTATTTTCTAAAGTAAAAGTGTGATTTACATGTAACCTCCTAAGTAAAACAGGGACAACTTAAAAACTGATGAGATACAAACGAAGGGATTAGAGATACAATCAGGAACAAACAAGGTACAAACGATTAGGACCGGATCAGACCCGAAATTTGAAAGTGGAGGTGCTGGGGAAATGGACCTAAATTTATGACTTAAGGATGTTGTGTTAAAATTTGTTATACGGCTCTCTATTGACACACATTGATAATGCTTATTCACCAAGCTTACGTTATATCGGGTGAAATTAAATTTAACAGTGAACCGTTTGCTTTTGAAACAAATATAACATAATATGAGTGAATACTCAACTAACGTTAAGCCCGACGATTTATATATCCAAGCATACAATTAATAGTACATTATTCGTATTAACGAAGAGAAATGACTAAAAACTAGTAATTAAAATTATTAAAATGGTTTATGTTTTTGTCACACGCGCGATATCAAACGTTCTGCATCATCGTTTTTATTTCGATTTTAAATATAATACCCACTATCACAGTTGCAACATAAAAACACGCTTGAATTGCTTTTACGTTGTATTTTACTCGTATACTGTCTACGATAAAAGATTCAGCTTTATCCGATTTTCGTTTTAAAAACGATGTTTTATGCTCAACAAATTGTCCGTTTTATTTTTATTTGTTACGGTACGCAAGGAACTTTCTAACAATGCTATACTTAAATCAATTATAATTTTTTATAAGCACATTATATGTAATCACGTAAACGGCATACAATTATTTAAGTCGTGTATTATTCAGACGATGTAGCTTGGTGTTACGATATCTCGTACGGAATCCAGTACCGCCGACCCAGTCACGCGCAAATGTCGAAAGAGAAATCGCTCCAAAATAATAATTTTGTTGCATCAATAAAATGCAGGAAATCACATGATTTATGCTTCAACCAAAAACTACAGTAGGTCGTAACACGTTTGGGTATACTATATATCTAGAAAAATAACACATTTGTTAATTTAATTTATAGTTATACGGAGAAACATTTAGATATTTCCCTTGTTGCCTTGTCCTGACCCGTTCCATGATTAGGTATATTGACCGATGCATGAAAGTAAAAAAAAATTATGTTAACTTTTAAAATAAATATTCTCAACATCAAACAAAAGCTGCGTAAATATATATGCTATAAATAACAATTAAATTGGTATAATTTGTTAAACATGAGTTTTGCTTGGAAAACGACGAAATATGTGAAAATATGCGATTAAAATGTTTGTGTTTCAATCAGCTATGACTTAAAACAAATTTATATCTTACTTAAACTATTCAGCTATCATTATTAAACAAATGCAAATTCAACGAGTCCCGAACCCTTATGATTAGCTTATGTAACCAAACATGTTGCGTCCTCGCAGAGAAAGATAGATATTACAAGATGATTCTTACGTTGTCGGTGAACCGTCTTGAAACTTAACTCGACTTCGTAACATTACACAGCCGACAATTGAGTGCGCATCTATTATGATGATCTACTATCTATCTATCTATTATTATTATGATCGACGACATGGTGCACCATAATACGGGATAACCGACAGCTCGTTCATTCGATCGTAGAAGCGTTATTGTTCACTTGAACATTTAGTAATGATATATTTAATTTAAACATTCCGATGGCCGAAACGTTAAAGAACAAAAATTTAACGAACAGTATGCATTATTTTTTAGGGTAACACCAACACTGATGAATATTGCGTTCGATAAGTGATGAACACACTTCTTTTATCGTTTATCACATTTTACAATATTATATTATAAAATATATTTGATACGATTGAAATCCATCTTATTTCTTATATGTGTTTATTGTATTGACTGAAAAATCTAATGAGTTGATTGGCAATAAGCAATCAATACTATATTATACCAATTATTAGGTACCTAATGTTGTTGCATTTACTAATTTATGCACTAAGGTCTGTAATGATAATTTGTATTCATGGTCATTAGATTATGATTATGTTTATTTGATAAACTTATTATTACAATGCTATGATAATCATTAATTATATTAATTTTATATTACTACATACTTAATAATAATTACAATCAGAGTTTGGGACTTTTAACATTTAAAAGCACAATGTTCAACACTAAAATATGTACTGAAAATAGATTAAATATGTAAATATATGCAAATTCAAATTTTAGATTTGAAATTATGACACCGATAAATTAATTTATATTGTGTATTGCTATATTTTCCAATAAATAACAAGAGTATGCAAATGTTATGAGTCGGATCTTGATTATGAATTTATAATAATAAAACAATTGTAATCCAATAATCGTCAATATAAATTAACGTTTGAAATTGTCTACCTGTTATAATGTATACATTAGTAAATCTGTAATTAAATCACCTACTGATTGGTATAACATATTATTACCTTACCTAATGCATAATAGCTCATTAGATGTTCAGTCAACACGAACAGTAAGCATAAGAAACATGATGGAATTCATTCGTATCAAATATACTTATAAAATTATAAAAATGATAAACGATAAAGTAGGGATCAAATACTCGGTGTTTGTCGCTTGGGGAACAAAATAATTTCATCCGCATCGTTTATAGCTTAAAAAGGCGCTTCCCTTTTATAATATTTCTGTTCTTTGATGTCGCTTGTACCAAAATATATAATTTAAATATCTTATTACTAAATGGTCAGAGGAACACCATCGTTTGTGCGATTGAATACTTTAACTTCCGGTTATCTCATTGTTAACACAATTTCGCTTAGGTTTTTTTCTTTTTATCGGCCGATATTTCATTGAGATATTATGTCAAACTATGCGAAGATAAATAAATAAACTCCTCATTCCGAGAAGCATAGATACGTATTATACGTTTCTCGTATATTGTAAGAGTGTAGACTAATCACGTCGAGCTTGACAAAAAATTTAACTCTATTGCTTCCCAAGGGAATAGACATAATGTTTCTATTATTTTCAATAACGCTGCTTCGAGCTAATTTGTACGCTTGTTTCTAATCTAATATAATTTACATATAGTACAGACGATAATATACTGTGTGTATGTACTTTACATGTGAATAGTCCTGCTGAAATACACTGATTCGAGTACAAATAAAGTGACTCAAAAATGAACAAATAAAAAGCCACATCTCGAGAATACTGAATTACTATTGCGTTATTATAATTATTATTATTTGTGTTAGTTCAAAAACGTTTATTCGTACGTGTCATTAGATTTATAAAATGTTCGATGCTATGCTAAATAATGTATCGATTTTACGTCGATAATGTACCCAATAGCTATAGGGCAAGAGAACATGTTACACTCGAATGATCAAGCACTGGACGTGACGCGAGATAAACAGACGATATAGTATTTCTCCGCATGATAAATAATTGACAATTTATAATCACATAGCATAATCAATAGCCATTGAAATCAGTAAAATTCCATAAAATAGATTGTATTTATTTTTTTCTCATTAACGGTCAAAATGTTAGACTTTAAAACGATTATTTCCTGCACGGTATTCGATTAAATAATCGATCCGAGTGGGCGTTGTAAACGATTGAGTTTTATCACATGTATATTTTAAATAAGTTATTTATCTTGCCTATAAGATTTATTAATTCTACTCGTGATTCTGACAAACACTGATCGATGAAATAATTCAACTATTTCATGAGTGGTGCTCAACCTGGGGGTCGCCAATAATTTAATACCAAATGAAAAAACTAAAAATACATTTAATTTTTCATTTTATTTATTATCCACGTTATTGTTATATATTATGATAATTTTAATGTGGATCTTAGATGATTCAAGTCAACATTCACTGTTTTATCCATTGGATATTATAATAAATGGTTTATTCGTTCGAAGTTAATTTTTTTTACAGTGGTACAAATTTCGAAAAACCGTGAACGCAACTCGGATGTTTTGCGGAAATTCGCTCACAGAGTTAGATCATCACCACGTAATATTTGTTTTATTTTGTCCTAGGGCGCAAATAATATGCAACCGCAGCCATTATCCTAAACTCCTTGAATTCTAGACTACGGTAAGCAAATTCCAGTATTGATTTTAACGATTGCCATTGGCAGGACCGAATTATGGTTATAATATACGATGGCTATTACATTTGGTGAGGCACTTTCACCCAAAACAATTTTATTTTTTGCTTGGATTTAGTAATTTTTAATTAATAAATATTAATTAAAATAAGTATAATATATGTCTTTATTGTAGAGCAGGCACAATTAATTTATAAAAGAGTACTTTATACTTGTTAGTCAATGATTATAAGACACGTTTTGGTCCCTTTCAACTTGCGGCCCGGGGCCTCTCTTAGCCCCTCCCCCTTATTCAATCCTGGTCAATGGTCACTTATTATTTAAACAAAATCAAAAATATATCTCACTCACCTTCGTTGACTACTTGGAGAAAGTCGTTTTCATCTACGACAGTTATAGATGGAAATGTCCTCGACCACTGTGGTAGGGACACTAAAATCCCGTGGTCGCTACTGTAGTTTGTCAATTTTTTGAACGCGTACACTAATTGATCCCATAAGCTTCCGGAACGCCACGATCTTCCCTCTTCAATTAAGTAATGCTGATTGACGTTCATGGAATCATTATCGAATTTCAATTTAACAAATCGCATCGAGCCACCATCACTATCCAATGCCTAAAATAATTATATGTTCACTAGCGTAAATAAAATCGATTAAAACGAATGAATATTTACTTATTTTTTAATAAACTAATAAAATATTTAATTAAAATTAGTAAATGGTTAATGCTCGTAAATTAATATATAAATAAATAATTGCTTAGCCTGGAGTATTATTATATTTGTAAAGTATGTCCGGTTTTGAATTAAAAATTCATCATCAGGTATATACAAAGTTAATAAAACCGCGACTAATTATAAAAAATTAATATTATAAAGGAAGTAATATATTGAGAAAAATTGGTCATTTTTACATAGAGATAATTTATTTTAATGAGATCACTTAAAATCAAGTTCTTATTAGACAGATATGTTAAGAAATAAAAATACTTTGATTAATATTATTTAAAATGTATTGGTGTAAGATATTATTTAAAAAATTGGTTTGTAAGTTTAAAATATTATTATAATTATTTTTCTTTATTTCATTGTGAATGTGTAATTCTTCTAAAACTGAATTAATGTAAATGTTATTTTGTGTATTTAATATTTCTAAATTTTAATTGATATCAAAATGTATACAGTGAAACTTCCCTTAACGGGCTCCTTTAAATAACGGACACCTACGAATAGCGAACGTTTTTATGGGAACGGGGAAATTTTCATTACTTTCATATAGGAAAACTCCTAAATAATGGACACTTATGGCAATTTAATTTTGATTTTGATAATTTTTATCGTAAATATAGAATAATCGTTGAATGTCAATTTAATCTAATCTCATTACTATGCATTATAAATTATTATACAATTGGCTGCATCCAAATTGCATGTTAAAAAAAAATGTCCGAAATGCATGCCAGGTCTTAGAGATGTATGTCCAAATTACATACCGGTTCGATTTTAGTAATTTTTTTTTTATTATTTATTTTTAATATCCCAGGATGTTGTATTTTATCAATCCATTTTCACTCTCATTTTAACATTAGATATACCTTTCTTAACTATAATAGGTAATATTTCAGGAATTACATCATACAATTTTAAAGTTAATCATCTATACCAGCGATTCCCAAAGTGTGTTCCGCGAAACCTAAGGGTTCCGTGGGACAATCTTGAGGGTTCCGCGATATGTACCTGAATATTGAGAACAGTAATTGTAATTAACAATAATCATAAAATATCTTTAAAACATTTTTTAGATTATTGGTTTTTCAACAATAAAAATAAACGTAAATACAAATAATTACAGATTTTGTGTTAATTTGAAGCTAGAGACATTGGGGTTCCACGAAACAAGAAATATTTGTTAAGGGTTCCGTGATCATAAAAGTTTGGGAACCGCTGGTCTATACTATTCTATATCTATAGTCAATACTCTATCTTATCGATATAATAATATTGTTATCTGGTATTGGACATCATTAAATTTTTATACATACGTATATATACATAACTATAGCTTAAAAATTAAATTTTAAAAATTTCTAAAAAAAAAGCTAAATGCTAAATTGCCCAAACACATTGCAATTTTTAAAAATTCGCCCAAACGCGTGACTTTCCGGCATGCAATTCGGACAAACTTAACAGACGAAACTGAACGAAAAAACAATTATTGGTGAATGGTTATTATTTTTAATTTTAATTTATTTGATTATTTTTCAAAAAATTGGGAAAAGCTAAGTTGTTAAAAAATATTTAAACTTTTAAGATGATTTTATAAATTTACTATTCAATTAGATAAGTGTTTATCAGAAAAATTCACTTTTTTATTGGTTAGAAATATCTGTCCGTAAAGTATATATATGGTATTATTATATAACGTCACCACGCTACGTCACTTACGTTCGTCTTAATGAAATCATCTGGGTCCTCTGCGACTTTGGTCAGCGTATCCAATATTAATTTTCCTACGCATTCCTGAGCGGTCAAGTTTGTGTGGCGGTAACCACACTGGTCGAAGACAGACGATTCCGAACTTTCGAAAACCGACGTGAACACTATGACTAATAACAAGCCGAGGACATGCACTTGGTACTGCGACATAATGGTATTTAAATTATCCGACAGTGGACCGCATCTGACGAGCGACTAATAGTAATTATCGTTATTAAAAGGAATCCGACGTTAATAAGTCTGACATCGAGATTTATTCATTTCTAATGCAGCTGCCCTTCATATTGACATCATCACCACCACCATCATCTTCACTGCCACCGAAACGTTTCATGCGGAAATTTAGGCCGTCTCAAGTAGTCCATGAGAGCAGGTGGAATAATCTCACGTGATCATCATTTTATTTTCTTGTTTATTTTTAATTTACCTCTCAATACTGCAGCAGCGATGCACAACTGTAACAAACCGCGTACGCAGATTTTGCCGACTCGTGATTTCGAGAAACGAACGAACTCCACTTAGAGGACAAGCGTCCACGTTTTACACGTCAATCCTACTTATAGCGATTATTTTCTTTTACAGTAAACGCGATAAGTATCGTGCGTGTACGATTATACTTATAGCAATCGATATTGTGGTGAAGTGGCACGGAAACGCGGTGTTACCAATGATTAGAAACAAAGAAACATTGATGTTTAGTTTTGGTAATGTTCCATAAATGCAGACCCAGTATATGGGCTAGACGTCGTCGGGATTTGAGATTTATTATCATTTGCACAGCACCTGTGATGATATATAATACGATACACGTGATAATACTAGGGCGGATATGCACAAGAAGAAAGACGTATGTAGTATTGTTAGGAAATTAAATATACGCAGTACGTAGTTGTGGATTTGATATGTTTGTCAATATTAAAATAAATGTATAGATTATTCTGTTATTTTTGTTAGCATTCTATAAAAAAAAAAAAAAAAAATAACAGATGAAATAGAATCCGAGTCCGGGTAAAAATACATCTGACGATTTAAAACGATGGGCCATTCGATCACTAACCTATCCTAACCCAGTGCCATCGAACTAGAAGCTGTAGATTATTTTATTTCATAAAATCGTTTACAGGTAATAATTTTCGGACATTTAGAAGATATCTTGGATGTAACAAGACAGTTATACAGTTATATCTCGTATGTAGATTACAAAACAATAGTCTTGAATGTTTCGCAGTGCAAATTATAAAATATCAACAGTTCTTTTTTTTTTTTTAACAGCTGTTCACTTTACTCGTTCAATTTTGTTTTAATATACAGTGTATGATATGTAAAATATGAATATATCAGTAGCAACTTGTAATAAATATTCTGAGGAGACTTAAATTATTCAACATAAACTCCATTCAATAACGAACAAGAAAAACCTATAGGATTGGAAAATTAATTATACATAATATTTAATTTAATATTTTGTTAAAATTTTTAACTAAATTTAATTGTAATTTTTTTTATAAATTAATTCAATTCTGCAATTTTTTTTATCTTCGAATTCGCAGATGACGATGTACAGCGACCAACGATGGCGTGATGGCACGGAAATTATTGTCATGAACCCAGTTTTAATAACGTCTATAATACGCGAACTGTTCTTCCCGGCCTCATCCGTCCAATAAGCAAACCATTACATGTTACGATTGAACCTGTCGGACGTCAGTTTCAACTAGTGGTCTCTATTTCACGTGTATTTAAGAATACGTTCCGTGCGTGTTTTTATAAAAACGGTGCTAAAGTGCGTGTTATTAAAATACACGAGTACACTTGTATTTACAGTCCGTATACACATGTATTTACAGTCCATATACTCGTATATTAAAAGTCCATACGTTATGATCAGTGGTGGTTACATGGATGGGTAACAGGGGCACGTGCCCCATGTGCCCCTCCCCCATTGTTGTTTACACAAAGTAAATAAAAATTTAATTTAATTTTTAAATAAGAAACTTTTTTTTTTGATAGTAAATGAATAACTATTAATTTGAATTTTATTTATAAGATTGTATTATAATATAGTTTACAGTAAAAATACTATAAAAATAACTTATTAATACGACCATGCCGATTCTTTTAATTAATTACAAATTAGATTCATACATAATAATATAAATTATAAATTTCGTATTTGATTTTTCTATGAATATTAATAACAAATAACAATGTTACCAAAAAAAATGTAAATTATCTGCCGATAACAAACAACATACTCGTAAGAGATAAAATTACTCAGTACGCAAAAATTGTATATCACACGTTAGAATAATACGGCAATATTATTAATTTAAAAAAAATGAATACAAGTTTCTGTTACACGGGCAATTTTAATTCACGGGTATATAAACTTTTAATACATGTGTACACGAACTTTAAAAACACGTGTAATTAAATACACGGGTATTCCTAAATATTATTATTTTAATGTTCGGACTACGTGTACACGTGTATATCAATACACGTACCAAACCGAGAGCCCTAGTTTCAACGAAACGACAACCATCGTCAAAATGACTTAAATAGTGTTTCCATCGAAATAAATATTTATTGGTTTATATTTTGTGGCTTTAAATTTATATTAATAAATATAGAAAACGCTATAATATATTTTCAATAAAAATAAAAATATTTTATACATTTTTAAATAGTAATTATTTACAAGTAGCTGTTTTTTTTACGCAGGCTCAAAGTCTAACCTAACAAGCCGCCCCTAAAATATATACAAAAATACGTTGAATATGAATATCTAATTCATAAGGCATTGTTCGCGTACGTATATAATAGCATTGTCTGTGTATATAACTCCCTATTTTTTTATAATTTATTTAAAACATATAATCTTGAGTTGGTAAATAGAATTTTCATTACAATAAGAGCTTATTCAAGCGAATAAAATATTAATACAGTTGTACATTTTCAACTACCATAATATTTACTAAAGGTTAATAATAATATATATATCAGCGGCGGCGCGAACTATTTTTAGGAATGGAACAGCAACATATCCCTTTGATCTATAACCACCCACCCCTAACATTTAATTAAAAGAACATATATTAAGTTTCGAACACACATCTAGGCACTAGAATTTTATATTTTGGAAGGGGCTATTTTATTTAGTGGCCAATTTCATTTTTTCTGGAGAGGGAATCCTTTAATATTATATTATAATATATTAAGACATGATCTAATCGAGAAAATAATATATCACAGCCAAAACTGAGGATCTATGAGGGTACAGACCCCCTGGACTAACCCGTAAATCTATCACTATATTTATTTATAAGAAAAAAATAGGATGTGCCCAATATATAATTAGTATTAGTAACATAAATATTAAAATTATATTACTAATGATACAAAAATATTGCATTCAGAATCTTAATTGATAGGATTATATTAAACGATTGTTATAACTAGTCCGGATTTGTATTCATTATTTGTGAAGAGTATATGCAGTTTGATGGGAGTAAGAAATATGGAGGAATTGTGTAACAGATTATGCAAAGAAATAAGTTTATTTTGTATATTTAAGCATATTTTACATGAAAGTTGTATTAAACCAATAGTTTTTTAAAAAATTTGTTTATTTTGTATTTTTTTTTCATATATATTTGCCAAAAAAATGGTATAAGATGATTTATTATTTTTGATTATTCCTAATTAAAATATTTGTTTTATTATTATTCAATATATTTTAAAAAAATTAATATTCTTTAATTAATATTTTAAGTTGAGGTCTGCAATCAAAAAATGAATTAATCTAATTTAATTAAATTATTATTCATGGAAGAAATTAAAAATAAATATAAATGGATATTTTAGGTAACAGTATATTTTTTAATATAATTTAAAAAAATAAAAGCATATCAGTGCAAATTTAAAAGTTTTTTGATACATAAATGCAAACTATTTTAGACTTTTTGAGCGCATACAAATCCGGACTGTAGTTTTAACATTATACCTTTGAAAAACTCCTTTCAACTGAAGCTGATGATGCGGGCATAGTATATAATCCTTAGTAAGCTAAATACAAATTAGGAAAGGCTGACTTAAAATCATGTGTAGAAAGATGATGCATTATTTCTATCGCAGTTGGTTCATCATTTTCACTATTCTCTTCAATCTTTCTTTCATCATCTAAATCCATATCCAACATATTTTCTGATATTTCAGTTTCATTAGAATGAAGTTTTTTTTGGTAGTATTATTCTACTTATAAGTTCTGTGATATTTTTACTGAATATAATATACTCATTTCTTAGTTTTTTTACTTCTATGTTTGTTATCCATTTTGATAAATACATAAATGATTCTACGGGCATTACATTAGGAGATTTGGAAACATCCATTAGTGGATTTGTAGAGAAAAGTAATAAATCCTTAATAATTTCTCGAGCACCATTATATCTGTTGGTAATTGATGTAATGATTTGTTCTAATGCTTTAAAATGAGTGTTGATTTTGAATCTAAATTAAAATAGAAAAATCATTAAATGAATTTATAACTGTTATAATAATTATACCTTTCTGAAGCTAAAATAATTATTTCATCATTTATTTGTTCGCCAGGCATTATTTCTTTTTTTTACGTACTCGGGACTCCTTAAAATTTGATTCTGGTAAATTATGATTAATAGAAAATTATTTAGTCTTCAACTAGATCATTGAACTTTTCATCAGAACGAAATGCATATAATTGTTGTTTAGCATTGTCTATTAGTTGATAATCTTGAATAATATCAATGTTTTTAGATTGCTAGAAACAAAATGTAGGAGTTGTAATTGAAAATATTCTGCCCATCAACTTTAAAATCAATATAAAATTAAATGATGAAATTGTTTGTAAGAATATGTGTCCATTTTAAGATGTTATACTGTTGAGCTAGACAGTATATTTAAAGCATCAATTAATGCGTCAAATTTATCATGTATCACAGAAATAACGCGGTCATGTGACGTCCATTTAGTATCAGAAAATTTTTTTATTTTCCGAATTCGATCTTTAAATTTTGGTCCCACATTTAAATTCTTTGGTATTCATAAAATGTTGCTGTACGTTTTCTAGCCCTCGTGTAACTTACTAAGCCTTGTAATTCTCCAAAAAAATTTCTTATATCTGTA